AACCAATTACATGGATCTATATATAACCTCCTCCCTGGGGGACAGACAACAGAAAAGTGGGTGAAGGAAGACGTCGGACAGTGCAAGATATGACAAAATAATTTCTAAATTATCAAGGGTTCATGAGGGAGGGGAGGGCGGAGAGGAGGAGGATAAAATGAGGAGCTGATGCCAGGGGCTTAGGTGGAGAGCAAATGTTTTGAGAAAGATGAGGGCAATGAATACACAAATGTGCTTTACACAACTGATGTATGTATGGATTGTGATAAGAGTTGTATGAGCCCCTAATAAAATGATTTAAAAACTAAAAATAAAAAGGTGGCATTAATGCCACTGATAGAATGCTGTCTAAAACTCATTAGCTCCATGCCGTAATCAGCAAAGGATTTCAAGAGTTCTTAAGTCTTTTAAATCAACTTTAACACCATCAAATTAAAATTGTCTTCATACAGGGATGAGACTACTTCAGTTATTATATGGTAGGACTACTTGTTAGTCACACCTGAAAAAATGCAATGACTTTTCCTGACAAGAGAATATTGTGTGAAGAGTAAAAAGTTGAGGGAATGGTTTAGAGGGAATATTTTGAGTTTTACCTGGCCAAAGAAAAGCTCCTATTGTCTGCCAACAATGCCTGCTAAGGGGCTGCAAATGAAGCCTATCTTCATTACAAAGACAGCGGTTCAACACCCCCTCCCCCCTTCCTGTGATCCTCATTCCCTGGGCAGAGGAAAGAAAAGGGGGCCTGTTCTAAAGGAAAGGAGAAATCTGTGCCCAGCTCTAGCTTCCAGTCTCTCAAGATGTTTTGAACAAGAAAATTTAAAGCTTGGAGATCACCAGAAAAAGCAACTCAGGCACTGCAAACAGGTGAAATGAGGATTAAAGTTCATAGAAAAAGTAGGTATCTGATGTGATTTGACCTACTTCTTCTCAAAGAAACTCTATCATAGTCAGATACATATGTGAAGCAACTGTTGTTTGGACTAGAAACTGCCCCAAGCTTTAAGTCTTTGGCTTTTGGGAATGGATTCTCTTTTATTATATCAAAATCCACTTTGAGACATTTGGCCATCAAATGTATCTATATATAAATATACGAGGGGTACCAAAAAAACAAAACCGACAAAAAATGGGAAAAGCTCCGCTGGGCTAAGCTTTCATCGTACACATTTTTTCCTGCTAGGAGTGAGCACTGAGCAACTCACTGAGTTAGTGCACCCAGTGGCATCTCTTGTGAAAGTTCTCTCTGGTCACAGTCGTAAAAGCAGTTTCACTCAAACCTCGTTTTTTGTGATGGCCAATTTAAGAGAACAGTGTGTGGCTGTGAAATTTTGTTTCCTGTTTGGGAAACATACCACAGGAACTGTTGTAATGTTAAACACAGCTTACAAGGACAGTGCTATGGGAAAAGGTCAAGTATACGAGCGGTTTTCTCGTTTCAAAATAGGTGAAGTTTTGCTTGATAACAAGCCTCTTTCTGGATGTCAGTCAACATCCTGAACGGATGAAAATGTCTACTTGGCAGTGCATTTGGATTTCGTTCCACCAGGTCAGACTGTTAAGTTAAGCCTTCTATTTAGAGGTTCTGAAAAGACTGTAAAGTGTGTGGCAAGAAAGGCCCGATTGTGGCAGACAAGGGACTCATTTTGCCCCAATACACCTGTTCACACAGCCATCTCAGTGCGTCAGTTTTTGGCAAAAAAACCCAGCATGCCTCTCTTGCTACACACACCTTACTCACCTGACCTCGTTCCATGTGACTTCTTTTTGTTGCCACAAATAAAGAGGGACATGAATAAACAGTGATTTGACGGCAGCCATCCAAATAGATGAGTTTGAAACATGTTTCCAAGAATGGAATCGTGGATTTGACAAATGTATCAAGTGTAATGGAGAGTACTTCGAAGGTGACAGGATTTTTTGGTTAAAAAAATTAAATACATAGCTTTTGGGGGGGAAATTCCGTTTTTTGGTTTTTTTCGGGGTACCCCCTAGTATGTAATAAAGCAAAAGAGTGCCTGTCTACTTTCATGGCCACACTACTAGCTTCATAGGAAACATTGAATAGTAAAATAATTGTATTTATTTATTAAAATGGGGTGCACAATTAATGGCAAAAGTGACTTATTTTTGTTTGATACACACATACTCTCAAAATAAAGAGCACATCTAATGAGTTTTTCACTCTGACTGCAGACCCACAGGGCAACCCTATTACTTTCACAAAACATTATTAAGCCTACTCGTAAGAAAAGAACATCTTATTTTACCATAATTGTGTTTTTCCAACACCTGGTGCACCACAAATTTCTGTTATTTTTGTTAGGGGTACTCCTCCCCCAAGGATATGATCAAGCGCTGAACAGAAGGTAATTATGAAGCCCTGGGTGTGCTCCTGCTCAAGCAGTTCCAGTGCTGTACACTTCTTGCCCGACTCAGATGGACCAGCACATCTTGCTGTATTTGTCAGAGATTCTCTTCTTATGATTTGCAACGTTTCTAAGGCTTCTTCTTTAGAGATCCCAACTTCTGAAAGTAAAATAGGAAAAAAATGGATTTTTAGAAATTTAAAGTCATCTGGTACTCAGGTGGATTGTCTTTATTCATCAATAATTTTTAGGTAATGAGAGTAATGCCAAGAATAGAGAAACAAAAAAATATGATGTTCTATTAGCTAATCAAGTTTGTTTAATTAATGTTAATAAATATTAACAAAAGGCTTACAATAAAATGTATTCTCATATTAATAAAATATTGTTGATAAAATAATGTGAATAAAGGCATTTGTCTATTTTTTTTAGTCCTCAATGCAAAAAATGTACCGCTTACTTCAGAACAGAATATAAATAAAGCATTTCTGAGGTACTGACAAGATTCTCTCAAAGGCAGAAAAAAGTACTAGCAGTACTTTCACTATTTCTTTTGGTCCTATGATGACAAAATTATCTTGCTCTCATATAGTGCTAATGGATTATTTTTCTGAAGGAATAGAAATCACTTCTTTAACTTCTCTAAAACAAGGCACAACTATGATGCATATGTGCACATACGTATTCATAATAAAAAAACTTTCCATGGAAATAGTGGTGTGGAATTCAGGTTATCATTACAACTAACAATTACTTACTGTACAACCATCTTAAACAACACACACGTTTCCTTAGTTATGAATGAAATATGCCAGAGAAGAGAGATGGTATCTACAAAACAAGCTGATAATTGAAGAAATAATGGTGAGGCTATTAGCGGTTAAGGATTTGATGTTCGATTTGGTAACGATGTTTTCGTTGCGAGGTGCTGTACAGTCGGTTTGCCCCATCCTGCGTCATCCTCACAACCGCTGCTATTGGTGGCATGGACCGTGAATCTGGTGCTAACAAATGACAATGGTGGCAATAGACAGGTAAGAAACGAAGATCCTATCTCATTTCAGAGAATGACCACGGGATTACGGCTGCTGAGGTCGGCAAATCCTGTTGCACCACTTACTCCATGACTGGAAACATTCTGTGTACTGTAGTTCCAATTCTGCATACTGATGCTGGGATGCGGGTGGGGGCGTGGAGGAAACTGTGTATAAGAGGTGTCTTCTTTCTACTGCTTTATCCAGATTTAAAACAATCCCCGCCACACTCTGGTCCTATCAGGGAGCCTGTCCTTCTCAAACTAAATCTCCAACAGAGATAAGGAGACCATCAGTATGGGAACCAAGGCCGGCTCCAGTATTTCCTAGCCAGTTAACACGAACGAGCTACTTAAGCAAGCATCAATGTCCTCCTCTAGAACTCTAAACTCACTGCCGCTGGTGCCGACGCACCGCGACCCTGCAGGGCAGGTCGAACGGCCCCGGGGGCTTCCGAGACCAAATCTTCACGGGCGTCGGAAGTCTCCTTCCTCTCGCCTCCTCACCTACCGTGCGGACACAACCCATTAAAGAGGGGCCTGTGAGTCTGAGACAGCAAGCCTCCGCAGGCGCCGAACAAACGAAATAACCAGTCGCTGTTTCCGCGACCACGACCATTCAGGAAACACCTGACGTGGACTCGAGCAGCCGTCCGTGTGGGAAACGCCGCCGCGCGGAGCAGCGACCTGAACGCGACGGCGGGAAACCGGCAGCGGGAGATGGCGGCGGCCACCCGCGCGCCTCCCTCAGCTGCCCCTCGTTACCTTTGCTGAGCTGGGAGGGCTTCACCTCCACGAGCTCCTCAGCAGTCTGGAAACCTGCGCTCACCAGCTTCACTCGCACGCTCGGGGACAACGGGAAGCTCCCCAGATCCCGCTGCATTTCAAAGCACGGGCGCCCGCGCGCGCCGCTCCGCGCAGCCAAACCCGCCGCTCCGCGCAGCCTGCGCGTAAGCGCCCGGCCGCGCACGTGACGTCAGACGCAAGCGGAAGGGGCGGGGTCGGCGGCGTCGGAGCACGCGGCCGAGCGCCCGGCCGCTCTACTGCTAGCTGTTCCGTTGGTAACTTGGCTACCATTTGTGTCCTGATCTCTTTATAGAGTGCTCCCATCAACCGTTTACGCCGAGAGTGGAAATGAGTGGGGATTTAAATGGAAAGCCAGGCCCAACGGGCCCTGCTGTTGCCGTCAGGTGCCAATGAGTGGGCTCCGACTCGGCGACCCCCGTGTACAACAGAATGAAACACTGCTTCGACCAGCACCTCCTTGCCATTGTTTTTAGGTTTGAGCTATTGTTGCTGCCACTGTGTCAATCCATCTTGTTGAGGACTTCCCTCTGCGAAGCTGCACTAACCGGTGGCGTAGGGGTTATGCATTGAGCTGCTAATCGCAAGGTCTGCAGTTCAAAGCCACCAGCCACTCGGGGAAGAAAGATGGTTTGCTACTATCGTGAGGAGTTACCCTCTCGGAAACCCTCAAGGGCAGTCCTGACCTGCCCTCTAGGGTTCCTTTGTGCCGGAATCGACCATGACATTGAGTACTGCTTTACCCTACACATTTCCTCGCTTCCGCCCTAGGCTGTTAGGTGGAAGTTGAGAAAGAGCCACCCCAGAGGTAATGCGTGTACACCAGCTTTTCTGGGGTGCAAAGCCAAGGGGAAGGTGATACGATGCTGAGTCGTCGTCCACACGGTCGAGCTCCAGTCTCCAGGTTCTTTCCGACAACCGACCCCCCTCGCGTACCCCCATCGCCTTTCCCGCCCTCGCAAGGG